AAACAATAGGAGAAGCCACTGAAGAGGTGGACTTGGGACAATGACCCTGAATCGATGGCTATGCGATATAAGAAGCTCGATGACAAGGACAGCCCAAATGAGGTCCTCAGGGATGTTCGTGGTGGGCACTGATAAACGTGCGTAGATTGGGGACTGGCTGGATCCTCATGAATACAAGGGACAGTCAGAGATGGCCCCTTGAAGCTGTCACTTCATAATGGCTTGGGCTTGAGACAATATGAAGTCTCGTATTTTGGAAACCTTCTCTGTGTTGGTTATTTGTGTAGCCCTCTATCTGAGTCTCCATAGAGATAATCTGTTTTAAAAAGGTGGAAACAAAACAAAAAAAATGACACTTGGGCTGGTTCTCCGAGCACCCCAGACGGGACAAGCCACGAGAGTGTCTCGCTTGGCACACCAGGAGTGTGGTCAGTGTAGCCCTATGAGCTCAGCAGCCACCAGGAGGGGTTGAGGTGAAGGCTTGAGCCCAAGAGTTTGGTCCTGGGAGCTCAGCAGGAGGAACGTTAGGGAGATTCCCTGGGTGTTTCTCTTGCAAATCCCCAGACAAGCGCAGTGCCCCAGGAGGCTGAGCCTCCCCTGCAGGCAGCTGCCCCCCCCCCGCCCCCCCCGCAGCGTCCCTGGCACCCAGGGGGGGCGGGGCCTGGGCTCAGAAGCCGGTACCTCGGTGTCAGGCAGGACAGTGTCTCCTTGTCCAGTGTTGTCTGAGAGAGTGGTCTTCAAAACTGTGGGCCATGACCTGTTAGAGGACAGGGAATCTATTTAGAGAGTTTCGAGCAGCTTTTTTTCTTTTAAAAAAAAAAAGGGCAAAGGAAGGAGAGAATACAACGTGTAGAAACCTTCACACACAGTGAGAGCAACGTTGTCCTGACGGAGTTTAGGGTGTGAGTGTGTGTATGAGTGTGTGTGGGAGTGTGTGTATGTGTGACCATGTGTGTGAGTGTGTGTGACTGTGTGAAAGTGGGAGTGAATGTGGCTGTGGGAGTGAGTGGGAGTGAATGGGAGTTTGAGTGTGAGTATAAGTGTGGGTGTATGACTGTGTGGCTGTGTGTGTGTGAGTGAGAGTGTGGGTGTGAGAGTGTGTGGCTGTGTGTCTCTGTGTGACTGTGTGTGTGAGTGAGTGTGGGTGTGTATGTGAGACTGTGTGTGAGTGGGAGCGGGAGTGGGTGTGAGTGGGAGTAGGTGTGAGTGGGTGTGAGTGGGAGTGGGTGTGAGTGGGAGTGGGTGTGAGTGGGAGTGGGTGTGAGTGGGTGTGAGTGGGAGTAGGTGGGAGTGGGAGTAGGTGGGAGTGGGTGTGAGTGGGAGTGGGTGTGAGTGTGAGTAGGTGTGAGTGGGAATGAGTGTGAGTGGGAGTAGGTGTGAGTGGGTGTGAGTGGGAGTAGGTGTGAGTGGGAGTGAGTGTGAGCGGGAGTGAGTGGGAGTAGGTGTGAGTGGGAATGAGTGTGAGCGGGAGTGAGTGGGAGTGGGTGTGAGTGGGAGTAGGTGTGAGTGGGAATGAGTGTGGGCGGGAGTGAGTGGGAGTGGGTGTGAGTGGGAGTAGGTGTGAGTGGGAATGAGTGTGAGCGGGAGTGAGTGGGAGTGGGTGTGAGTGGGAGTAGGTGTGAGTGGGAATGAGTGTGGGCGGGAGTGGGTGGGAGTGGGTGTGAGTGTGCGCTGGCTCACGCTGTGCGCACGTCTCACTGCGGGGGCGCACTGGGAGCCGCCCCGGAAGCACGGCCACGCCCCCTCCTTGGGAGGGTCTCGGGCTCCGCCCCACGCGGCCCTGAGAGCAGGGGCTGAGTGCCCGGCCCTTTCTGTCGGCAGAGCCCAGACTGCCGCTTCCCTGCGTCTGGAGGAAGGAGGAGGGGGCTGGGGCGGGGGACGGCTCCGGACAGGGGCTGTTGGTCGTGGGGAGGCCCACACAGGACCACAGCCACGTCCCACGCAGCTGGCGCAGAGGCCAGCGGGGCTCGGCCCGCCCTCCCCTGCCGTTCCCTCTCCGTCCCTCCTCTGCTCCTGAGCAGCTCGTCCTGGTGCCTTCAAGGACCCTCCGGACCCCCCGCCCCCGGGACCCTCCGCCCCCGGGACCTCGCCCCCGGGACCCCCGCCTCGCGCCTCTCTCTGCCACAAGGCGCCTGAACACGCAGACGCTGCCCGTCACTCCAGCTGGAATGGGGACTCGGGAAGGTCCTCTGGGCCTGAGTCCGGTTACTTACCTTCGAGGTGGTGAGCCGTGGGCCGGCAGCACCCTTCCCGGAGCCTCGGACCCACTGCCTGACTCTGCAAGTGACCCCCAGGGCTTGGAGAGGCCGGCCCTCTGGTGGGCCAGGCCCTGCCGCCCCCGCGCTCCCCTTGCCACGCGGGCTCTGCGCCTGCGGTTTGGGGGCAGGGACTCCTTTTCTGCCACACGGGCCGGGCCAAACAGCCACCTGGGCCTCCAGGGTGGCGCAGATCCTTCCGCGTGGCCGGGGAGAGCTGCCTGGCCGGCCTGTGCCGTGGCTTCTCCATTTTTTTAAGAAGGGAAAGCAGTTCTTCTCTGAGTCACGTTGTATTTCTGTGACCGGTGGTACCACGCTGAGAAACATCTCTAAACGTTACAGGGTTTGAGTCAATGTTTTATTAAGTACTATGCCGTTCTCCTTCAGAAAAGTCTAGAAATAGAGTGTCAGCTTTGGTGGGGGGAACCTGTCCACGTGTCCTTCAGATCAAGAGCTAAACGTCCTTATGTCACCCGTGGGTGAGGGCAGGGCAGGGGGGTGCCAGCCGCACGGTTGCACCCACAGGCCCTGTCTGCCCGGGCCCCTGGGTGAGCAGCGGGGACTAGAAGAAGATGTTGGGGTGACCGGCACCCACGCAGCGCAGTCGTCTGCTCGGGGATGCCGGGCTCAGCATTGCTGACCTCCCCTCCAGCGTTGCTCTGGGCCTCCCAGGATTCTCTCTCCCACAGACTCGGGCACAACTGGACAGCTTCGCAGAAATGATGTAGAAAGCGCAGAAATGATGTAGAAAGTGCAGAAATGATGTAGAAAGTGCAGAAATGATGTAGAAAGTGCAGAAATGATGTAGAAAGTGCAGAAATGATGTAGAAAGCGAAGGCGCTTCGACTTTGCCGCCCACGAGAGAGCTCCCGCCTTGTCCTGTGTCAAATATTGTTGTAGGCAAACAAAAAAATCTTCCCAATTACATACAATCAAGACATATAGAGGACTTTTTTTTTTATATAAGTACTGGAAAAATTGATGTAATTTTAAGCATTTTCCGAGGTCTTGAAACCAGGTTTTGAATGCGTGTGGTTTTGTGGGATGAGAGCCGGACAGAAACAAACAAGAGCAAAGCCTGTGTTTTTAAAAACAGCTTTCATATATTTCATTTCGTTTCACTTCATCCTACAAGAGCCTCAGGCGATAAAGGGGATTTTAAGCAGAGTGAACCAAGGCAGAACGAGGAGTGTCTGTTACTTTCCTGAGGCAAACAGCGAGCAAGTAGCAGAATCCTGATAAAACCAGGCCACCACCTTGCAGTGCAGAATTCTCGTGCCTGGGCCCTGAGCCCCTCGCGGTACAAACACTCGCCAAAGCTGTTGATCGGGAAGTGACGCCACACAGGCGCGGAGCAAGGGGTCAGGGGATGCATTTCGGGTGCTGTGGGTCCCTAACCCTTTCCCATCCCCACGCCTGTTCTGACTGCGGGGCATCAGGAGATGGCAGCTGGTTTCTGGCCCCAGGAGCGGCCGGCAGAGTGTTCCCCCAGGTGTGGCCCCTGCATGGCGTCACCGGTTACTCGCTGAACCAGCCGTCTGACTTTGCGAGCCCGCCCGCTGATGCTGATGCGCCTGCAAGGAGAACCATCGACGTGAAGTTCCCACGTCGTTCCCAGCCTGCTGGCGACCTCTCCGGTGGAAATGGGAGCAGGAATCAGAGCTGTCCTTGCAGACATGAGGACATCCTGCCCATGTCCACACACTGCAGAGCCAGGAGAGGGGAAGGCAGAAGGTGGATTGATGGAGACACTGGGAGGGCTTTTTTTTAATCCTCACCCGAGGACATTTTTGCATTTATCTTCAGATAGAGAGGGTAGGAGAGAGGGAGAAAGAGAGAAAGAAACATCGATGTGAGAGGGACACATCGACTAGCTGCCACCCACACAACCCCATGGGGCTGGGGACACACTGCAATCGAGGTTCGTGCCCTTAGCGGGAACTGAGCCCGGGACCCTCTGGTCTGCGGGTTGACGCTCTAACCGCTGAGCCAAACCGGCCAGGGCACTGCAAGGGTTGTGATGTTGGGGTCGTCTGTTGCCACACTGGCTGCATGCAGGTTGGAGACCAGGAGAGGGAAGTGGAGAGACAGGCTGGAAGGACCCCTGAGCAGTGGACAAGATCAAATAAAAATTCTTTTGTGCTACAGCATAAAACATAAACCTGGTGTCTCTCAGGCCCCTCTAGCTCCTGCCTCTCTCGGTTTACGTTCTCACGCTCGTCCCTCACAGAGTGAGTCTCAGGGGTGTTCTCTGGCCCTGAGGGAGCTACCCCCAAACGAAACATGTCAGGTCGCGTGCTGCTCCATGCCAAGTGACACTGTTGATGTGCCTGTGGCCCTGGGGAGAGGGGGGCCCCCTCATTCTGAGGATGGACAGGTGAGTCAGCGGAGGCAGGCAGTCGGGGAAAGTGACTCTGGCAGCTTCACCCGATACTTTTCAGTCTTTCCTTAGAGAATCAGCCTGGCTCCTCTTCCAGGAAGTCACCACTGCGGGCTGCGTCAGCCCTTTGTGCCTGTGCTCAGCTGAGGGCCCCAGCGCACAGTCTTACAGCCTCTGATTGGTGGTGTTTCTCCCCTCTGCTCCCTGATGTAGGTCTTCGGAGCCCAGCGGTCCGCCCCGAGGGTTTACACCGTGAATGACCATAGATCGGTCCCCAGGACACGGTTGCTGAAGGGACAGGACTCCAGGAGACCCCCTGGCAGGCGGGAGCCAGGGGTGCTCGGAGCAGGACGCCAGATCAGGACGCTGTCCCCTGTGTTTGAAGCAGGACGAACTACCGCACCATTGCTGGAATCCGCCTCCTTGGGGAACACCGTGTCACAACCAGGGAAACGTGTCCCAAACAAGCTCACTCATCCAAGAGACAAGATAGAGAAACGTCAAAGGAGAAAGATCGCCGAGGCCGAAAGGAAGGAAGCCGACCAGGAAACACACAGCACAGGGCCTCCCGGTGGCCCCGCCCCTTTGTAAGAAATTGAACTTTCCTTTGAGATCAGGGTGGATTCACGGCAGGTGTAAGAGAACACAGAGAGAGCACGCCTGCTCGGTGTCCTCTGCCGTAGCATCTCGCCGCACCATATATAGCCGGGCCTGCTGCTCCCTCCCCTTCCTGGTTTTAGAGAAAGGAAGGGAGAGAGAGAGAGACATAGGTGAGAGAGAGAAACATGGATCAGTTACCTCCCACCTTCGAAGCCCCCACCTTCTGGGGTACAAGTTGACTCTCCGACGAGCTGAGCCACACCGGCCAGGGCTCTAAGCAGGACATTGACGGAGATTCAATCCACAGGTTTTACTTTGCCTTCCCCAGTTTGATTTACTTGTTGTGTGTGTGTGTGTGTGTGTGTGTTTGGCTCCACGGATTTAATCACGTGTGCGGGGTCATGTGTCCACCACCACAGTTAGATACTCAGCGGCTCCGAGTGCTTCAGCGACTTCACCCCTGTGCATAAGGAAAAGCCACGGATGAAAACCACCCATAATTGTATACATTTCCTGATCCCGCGAAGCCACGCCCAGCTGGCACCCCATCACCCCACCTCCTGCTGGGTGCCTCACCAGTGAGGAGCCGTGGACTGCCTCCCAGCAGCGTGGGGCACGGATGATAGGGGTTGGTGCCTGGTGCAGGGGTCTGGCTCCCAGGACCTCGGGCATCCCACCCGACGTGGGTGCGTGGTTTCCTCAGCTTCTGACTCCACCAAGACCACCAGGACCTTGGCGGGGAGAGAGGAGGTGTCTTTAAGGACGAGCGAGCACACAACAAGGAGAGGAAGGCCCACGGGGGCTTGGATCCAACCGCAGTGGCCCTGGCAGCAGACGCCCGGCCCAGGAGCCAGCTGCTGTGCGGCCTGGCAGTGCCCACTTCTTCAGATTGGCGATCACCGAATTTTAAAGGAAAATACGGGAACGGTCAACAAACAATAGGGACATAAAATCCGCATGCAGAGCTGACAAGACCTGTGGGTCGGGATTTCTGCCAGGAAGTCGTGTGCCTGTGTGTGCACTGGAGCACACGTGATTTGTGCATGTGTGTTTGTGTGTATATGAGCGTGTATGTGTACAGGTGTGTCGCTCTACATCTGAGTGTCTGCATGTGTGTGCCTATGTGTTTATGTTTAGGAAAGTGTCTATGTGTGTCTATGTGACTTTATGGGGGGGTGTCTACGTGTGCCCCGGCTAATGTGACTTTGTGTGCATATGTGTGCCCAAGGGGGGTGTCTGGGCGTGCCAGGTGGGGGCAGTAGCATCTGGGACCACTGAGCGAGGACTGGGGTTGGGACTAGAAGCTGGCGCGCTGTGCCCTCAGGACAAGGACACCAGGTCCTAAGTGGGAATCCCTTGCTCCTCTTTCTGTGACATTTGCTGGAAACCACAACGCTGACAGCAGATCACATGGCCAGCTCGGTCCTGTTCTCCCTGAGGAAGTGAGGAGGGGCTGCGGTCCTTTAGTGCTGATCTGCAATGGACTGAAAGCAAGAGGCGTTAGCCCCCAGACTTCCCCTTTCTCCACAGTCCCCATGTCTTCTGACCTCAGACTGCAAAACCTCCGCAGCCAGAGCTGCGAAGGATGCTGAGCCGGGCGTTGAATTGACAGGGCTTGTTGCCACCCAAGTTGCAGTCCTGGTTTTTCTGTCTGGGAAACGGGGTGTGTGTGTGTGTGTGTGTGTGTGTGTGTGTGTAGAAGGGGGAGAAATTGAGAGACACTGTGGGATTAACTTTCAAGAGACAGACAGAGGAATAAAGAAACAACCACCATGCTTAATTCTCATGCTAGGAAGGCTCTGCCACCTTTGCCCAAGTTCCTGCTCAGACTGAGAGTTAGGGGCCAGTCTCTTTGTCTTACTTACAGGAAGGTCAGGGTGTCCCTAACCTACGGCCAAACCACCTCTGTGCAGACACCAAGTCGAGATGCAGTGTTTTGTTTCCTTTATCATTCCATTTATTTATTTTATTAAATGGTCTTTTTTCTTTTTAGCATTGGGGCTTGACCCATTTGGGACCTTCCTAGAGACAGCATGAAAAGGACATGTGGGAAAGGTCAGATGTTGGCTTTGGAGATGGGAGGGCCACATGACAAGGAATGCATGTGCCCTGGAGGAGCTGAGAGTGAGCGGCCCCATGCTGATGGTCATCAGTCCTACAACCCCAAGGAACTGAATTCTGCTGACAACTCGAGCTCACTTGTAGGGATGGGGGTTTGGTGAATGAACGATTTGTAACCTTGTGATGTGCATTCTCGTGACCTGGCCAACCTAGGATCAAAGTGTGTGTGGACAGACAGGTTTGACTAGAAGGCAGGAAGTCCACCCTGATTGATTCTGAATGCTTTGTTTGCATGTGAATAGAAAAGGTTTGCACGACAAAGGAAGAACACTCTGTGAGGATAATGGGCCATGGATGCCCAGGCATGGATGGGTTTGTTATTTTTCATCTTTGATGTCTCCGTAAAAAGTGAGAGACAAGGCTTGGCTGTATAGTTTGCAGAGGCGCCATCTCAGGGAAATGATTCACCTAAATCCACATATAACTTGGGAAACCACTCTGCAAATAAATTGGGCTGCATCCAGAGATCTGGAGCATTTGCTCTCTTGTGATGCTCCCCCTCACTCCTACCAGTGTGTGCTCGTAGTTCATTGCGTTGCGCCAACCCACCGCAGGCTGAGAGAGACGGCACTCGCTCGAAAGTGGGTTCTCTTGCAGAGACACCAGAACTGACCACGGACTGGCAGCCACCCCGATTTCAGTCTTGAAAGGCCCTGAACAGAAATCCAGTTGAGTCCTGTCTGGGTTTCTGACCTACAGAACTGAGTTTTAAATGTGTCTTGTCTTATGCTACTAAGTTGATGGTATAGTTTACACAGCAATAGGACACAAACACAGCCTGGCCACTTTCTTTGAAGGAGAAGGGAAAAAATCAGAAGGGAAAAATACAAATTAATATCCCACTGAGGTAGCCTGTCACACCTGTGTGGATACTTGGTTGCTCACAGTAAATAGAAACTGCCTACATTAGCATGTCTGCACTGGCGATGAGTTATTTTAATTGTTGACAAGTGAAAATGTCAATTCAGTCTTTCAATTTGCATTTATTTCTTTGCCTTCTGGTAAGAAGCACCCTTTTTCATAGGATTCTTGGCTTCACAGCTGTTAAGAGCATCCTAATTTCTAGCTGGATGGAGTTTTCTATTTACCTTTCATGGCTAATTTCTCTGTTTTCACAGAACCCCTACACATTAGTTGCTATAGAAATATTTGCTGACTGAATGTCTGAATTAACAAATAATGAAGGGGGGGTAGGAGAGGATAGAGGAGGGATAAATGGTGATAGAAAGATACCTGACTTGGGGTGGTGAGCACAATACAGTAAATAGATGACGTGTTATAGAATCTTATTAACTAATGTCACCCCACTAGATTCAATAAATACATTTTTAAAAATCAAAGGAAGCTCAGGAAGAAGGCAGCAGTGACAGACAAGGGATGAATAACCGAGTCTTCGAGGCAGGGCTGCTGCTGCTGAGAAATTCAGCACGTTGGTGTCAGGACAGGACTGCAAGGCCCCACTGGAGTCAGCAGCCCAAAGCAGAGACCCGCCTGACATTCAGGCGCCCTTGGCCACCTCAGCCTGGAGGCCGCGGCCAAGTGCAGCCAGTGGGGGAGAAGCCCTTGCAGAGCAGGTGACATGGTCGGAAGTCAGGCACCTGGGGGCGGGCGGCTGCTCTGGGTGGATGGTGGCACCGTCCTCTGTCATAGGTCATCCGATGTAAAGATTAGGTCAGAGGTTTGGTTTGTTGGAAACATGTACTATTATTTCTTTTTTAAATGTTTATTTGTGCCCTGGCCGATTTGGCTCAGCCGTTAAGAGTATCAGCCTGCGGTCCAGAGAGACCTGGGTTCGGTTCCCGCTAAGGGCACGTACCTCAGTTGCAGTTTGTCCCCGGCCCTGGTTGGTCGTGCGGGTGGCAGCCACTCGATGTGTCCCTTTCACATCCATGTTTCTCTCTCTCTCTCCCCCTCCCACTCTATCTGAACAAAAAAAATGGAAAAATGTCCTCCGGTGAGGATAAAAAACAAAACAAAACAAAAAGAATAAAATTTTTATTTGTTCGGAAACTATTATTACACAAGTAACGTATTAGCTACTTTAAATACTTTAAAGAGTTTAGAAGTATATACACTAGAAGGTAAGAGAAACTTCTTAATCCTCAATCTCACTTCCCTCTGATAAGAAACTTTGACTTATATATATTATATTAAAAGAAAAAAGTGGATCGAGCTATGCAGGGGCAGCGCCTTAGGCTGGGGTGGTTTACTGCACCCTGACTTTGTTGAGGCAGGTGGCTCATCACTAAAAGCCGTGTGTGTGTGTGTGTGTGTGTGTGTGTGAGTGAAGGGTGGGGGTGGGGGAGAGACTGGCATTCAACAGATAAACACATAAATAAATATGTAACGACACGGGTGGGACCAGGTACTGTCATGCACGGGGACCCTCAGGGTGATGGCCGGGAGGTGACGGCGGAGGCTCGAGCAGGCGCCTAGGTGCTCCCTCTGGTAGAACCTGCAGGATGGAGGCAGGATCGGTGCCCACAGTCCGGGTGGGCTGGGAATGGGGAGCAGCAGGCCTGCTGGAGAAGCCTGAGGGATTTATAGGGGTTCCTGGGGCTGAAAGGGGGGAGCAACAATGGAAAACTGAAGCCCCGCTGCTCCCCAAACTGGAGTCTCCCGGAGACTCCACCTGTCAGGGATGGATGAGGGCCCAGGCTGTCTCTGTCAGCTGAGGATAACAAAACACCCAGGAGAGGGTGATGCTGTGGACATTGACTGCTCCAAGTCCTGGAGGGGGTGGGGGAGAGAGACCACTAATCCCATCAAGATGGCCCCGCCCACATCTAACCTAATCCCCTCCCAAAGACCAGGAGGTGGGGCGGGGGCAGCTGGCCCATAGCTGTATCAGGGAGGATGGGAAAACTGCGCAGCAAAGTGAGTCCCCAGAGGACGTGGCATTGAAACAGAGCCGGAGCTGGGGACCAGGCCTGCAGCCCACAACAGCAAGGGCCGTCCCTGGGGCCGAAGACGGGGACCCTAAAGGCCGGGGAGCCTTCGGTGTGGAGGGAAGCCTGTGACATCCACAAGGACTCCTTAGGTCCTGCCTATGAGTAGGATAAAGTGAAAGCGTGTGTCGAATCACTCAGCTCAGTGACCTCCTGGCTCTCCGAGGCGTCCCCAGCCACCGTGCTGAGTACCTGACCCCGCAGCCCTGCCCTGGCTGCTTTCGGTGGCTGAAAGTGGCCCTGTAGTGACTGCTAGGGCTGTCACAACAAATCACTACAACCGGATACTTGTTCTCTCACAGTTCTGAAGGCTGGACGTCTAAAAGCTAGGTGTTGGCGGGACTCTGCTCCCTGCAGGAGCCCCGGGGCGGATCCCTCCGGCCCCTCTCTAGTCCCGACTGTAGCTGGCAATCCCTGGTGTCCCCTGGCCCGTCGATGGCTCTCTCCAGTCTCTGCCTCTGACCCTCTCCTGGGTGTAACTCGAACAACCAGAGTTACCTAAATCTGGGGACACGAGCGAGCAGGGTTAGAGCCCATCCCGATCAGAATGAGCTCATCTCAAGATCTCTAACGTAACTACATCAGCACAGGGTCATTTCCCAAATCACATCCACAGGTACCGGGGGTGAGGACTTGGACACCTCTTTGTGGGGACCACCGTCCGTCCCGCTACAGACATGCATATTGAAATCCGCAGATTATAAGCGGATAGTTCAATTAGACACCAAAGGTGTCCAGGTAACCACCGCAAGGACGAGGCCAGAACTGCAGTCCCCGCAGATGCTCCTCCTCACCATCACCCTGCCTTGTCCCCAGTCACCTCCACCCTGGCCCCTGGCACGTGCTCTACCTTTGGCCGGGCTCGGACTTCCTGTAGCTGCAATGCCGTGTGCCTGGCGTGGGCTACCCCCGTTGCCCACCTTCCGATTCTCCCAGCAGTCTACTAGGAACTCACAGAAAGAAGTTAATAAGTTAGCCAAGCTCAACATTAGTACACCAAAGTAAACTTTCTGTTTAGAAGTATTTAACCAGGTAAAAATATAATAAAAAAAATACCATTGATAATAGCACCTGCAAATAAAATTAAGAAGAGTCTTAATAATCCAAGTAAGGAGACAAATATATAAAATTTAAAAATAAGCCCGGCCAGCCCTGGCCGGTTTGGCTCAGCGGTTAGAGCGCCGGCCTGCGGTCCTGAGAGACCCGGGTTCGGTTCCCGCTAAGGGCGCGTACCTTGGTTGCAGTTTGTCCCCAGCCCTGGTTGGTTGTGCAGGTGGCAGCCACTCGATGTGTCTCTTTCACATCGATGTTTCTCTCTCTCTCTCTGTTCCTCTCTCTCCCTCCCACTCTACCTGAACAAAAAATGGAAAAATGTCCTCGGGTGAGGATAAAAAAAAAAAAAATAAGCCCGGCCGGTGTGGCTCAGTGGTTGAGCATCGACCCATGCATCAAGAGGTCGCCAGTTCGATTCCCGGTCAGGGCACATGCCCAGGTTGTGGGCCCGATCCCCAGTGGGGGGCATGCAGGAGGCAGCCAATCAATGTTTTCTCCCATTGATGTTTCTCTCTCTCTCTTCCTCTCCCTTCCTCTCTCTCTACAATTAATAAAGAAGAACAAAAATTTTTAATCTGAAAAATAGTCTTGTTTTCAGACAGAGCAGCTATGTATTAAGGAAAAGGCTATGTTTTAAAGTGAACAATTTCCCCAAATGAAACTGGAAGTGTAAATAAGTGGAAATACCTTTTTAAAAATCTTCTACAAGAAGACAAATAAGAGAGAGCTTTCTCTGACAGGCTTTATGCTGTGTAGTAAATCTCAGGTGGGTGGGTCTGTACATCACTGGTCCGAGAAATGGCAGATGGACGGGCAGCGAAGCCGGAAACTGAGCAGTTCTTAGCTTATATTAAATGGGTGTCTCTCATCAATGGAAATGTTGATTTCTCAATCAAAAATGACACTGTAACTGGTGAGATATTTGGGAAAAATATCTGCTTCTAACTTTACCACATACCCCAATAAACTGAAGATTATTATTTAAAAATAAGGGGAAGAAGAAAGAGAATAACTCCTTGGTTTCTGGATGGTGTAAGGACTTTCAAAGCTTAAAACCAACGGAACGCAGGAAAAAGTAAAATACAGATTTGAACGCACATAAAAATTATACATCAAACATCACAAAATAAAGAAAAGGCAAATTACAGGCTGAAAAAAAAATTGCCACAAACAAGATCGAGCCAGGATTGAAAATGTTGATAAATGAATAGTTCATATGAATCAATGGCAAAAGCTGAAATAGTCCATTAAGTAAGCGGGTAGGGGAAAAGCTTAAAAACTTAGAACGATGAAATGCAAGAGCCTCACAAACAAATGACAATATAGCCCATCTTACTAAGAATCAAAGGGAAGCATAACTGAAGAAAAGGCCATTTTCTTGGCCTCTTGTACGAGCAATTAATGCCCGAGTTTGTGGAGACGTGGTAAATAACCCGGGCATTTCCAGCCTCCAACGGTGGGAGGGGAAATCCAGCCCTGTTGAAAACAAATGTAGCTGTTTGTGTCCAAAATGTAAAACACTTTAATATGCTTTAACCACAAAAGGTTACACATATATAAACTCTCTCTATATATAAACAAAGTAAATAAAAATACTAGGGCAATGAAGAAACTATGCCCAAACCTTGCAATATTACTCTCTCAGTATTTGGTGTTCTCTCTATTACGCTCTTTTCTAATTTTCCAATGACTTTTGTGCTCAGCAGACAATGACCGACAGAACTGACCGAGCATGCCCAGTGCGTTCTCTGCACCACCCCGGAGGAAGGAACCTCTGTGGCCATGCAGGTGACAACCAATCCAAGCAGACCTATCTCCTTGCTCACTCGAAGCGAGCGACAGCGCAGTAACCCAGTCAATCGGTGGCCATTTGGCGATCTCCAAGTAAACGAAACCTGGCACTAAGCGGAATTTACTCCACCTCACTCAGCAGACAAGTTCGTGTTTGGACTGAAAGGTTAACGAGCGTGACTTGTTCAGGCAGAAAGGCAAGGGGAGGGCTTCAGCGGGGGAATGAGCAGGTGCAAACCTGAGCTGGCCGTGTGGGCGGGAGAGACGGTGGAAGAAAGACCACGTGGCAGGACGGCAGGGCTGGGCCACTGCGGCTGCGCAGGCGGTCAGAACCGGTCCTGCCCAGAGGGGTCCGGAGTGATGGGAACACTGGACTTCACGCATGACCGTCACAGAATGGACGGGTCTGTCCGAAGAATCAGCAGTGCAGAGCACAGACTTGCGGGGGAGGGAGGAGACTGCAGAGACTGATGGATATGGAAGCTTCTACAGTGGTCCTTCTGAAAGGTGATGGGACCCTGAACAAGGCAATTCCCGCTGACATAAAATGGGGGTGCAGATTGGAATGTCAGCTCCCCAAAGGGCATTTTTGGTGACTTCTGTTTTTATAACCACTAAAAAATAATTGGCCAATAGCATATGATATATATATATATATATATAATTTGTTGAATGAATGAATGGGTAAAAAGACACAAGACAGTTTAAATGTAATTAGGAGGACATTGGTAAGTCCCTGGATGTAAGAAATAATGGTAGAGGACTTAAAGAAGGACGCAATCAGCCCTGGCTGGGTGGCTCAGTTAGTTGGAACATCATCCCGTGCACCAGTTATGGGTTTGATTCTTGGTCAGGGCACATACCCAGGTTGGGTTCGATATCCGATCGGGGCATATGTAAAAGGCAAACGATCAATGTTTATCTCTCTCTCAAAATTAATGTAAAAAAAAACCAACCAACCAAACAAACAAAAAAACCCGCACATATCCTTGAGTGCGTAAGAGGCAAATGATCAATGTTTCTCTCTCTCTCAAAATCAATGTAAAAAAAACCAACCAAACAAACAAACAAAAAACCCGCACATATCCTTGAGTGCAGATTAAAAAGGACACAAATAATATATCTCAAAACAACCTCATCTCAATAAGCAAACTCATCTAATGTTGCCTCATCCATTTCCTGAGGTATGGTTGTATGTTGTCACCTTGGTTATAATGCTATATATAGGCCATCAAAATATTTTCAAGGGCCACAATATTTTTCTTATAAATATATATATGCTCATTATATAGATATAAATTCCTTGCTAGGATTAATATAAAAGCACTTTCTGAACCGCAGGCCGACGCTCTAATTGCTGAGCCAAACCGGCCAGGGCTTTTTCTTCCTGTTTGGTTATTTGCTGATTTAATTTCAGCTGGGGTTAAAAAAAATACTGACATCTCACATTTTTGAAACTTGAAAGTGGCACTCTCTCTTTAAGAGTTCTCACAGCCGAATCACGGTCTCATTGTCAATTTCCTGGTTGGGAGGCTACACTGCTTATGCGAAATGTTACCGCTGGGAAAAACTATGCAGGGACTTCTTGTTATTTCTTACAACTGCAGGTAAATTGACCATGTTCTCATAAGAAAAGGCCCAGAGGCTCATCTTCCTCACCGAGGTTCACACGGCCATGTCCCCAGGAAATCTGGATGCAACAGCCGGGGAAATGCGTCCTCGTCTGGGTCTTCTGCAGAGGTGGTCACAGAAGGTTGTTGCTCCGCGCTGTCCTTGCAGCTGGTGTTTCCAGCCTCGATTCCAAACCGAACGCCTCTCGTTTCGGCCTCCGCACTGCAAGGCTGTGGCCGGTTATCCTCGCTGCTCCTCTGAGCTTCTCACTTCCTCTCCGGATGTGGTTTGCTCTGCCCTGAGAACGTGTGCTGACATCACATCTCCAAGGAGCGAAAATGAGTCATTCTCCAGCGCTCTGCGCACCAGCGACGTACAGGGTCGCTTATCTGGATGTAATGCGGCCCAGATTGCGTGGTTCCAGCCCCGTGGTCCCCTCGTCGCTCTTGACAACTGCAGACAAGCAGCCCTGGCTGTGTGGTGGCGGACACAGCCCCATGAATGTTCGTTGTCTTATTGTGTGAGGGGAGGTGGCGGCGAGAAGTCTCAGGGGCCTCTGCTGGGCACCTTTGGTCTCCAGGCCAGCCGGGCCCCGGCCTCTTCCAGCCCCAGCTTTCTGGCCCAGCCTCTGACCTCTAGGAGGCGCCACACACACTGGCTGTATGCATCTGATTTACTGGGATTGTTTTCTCTCTGTTCCACACACCCGTCCTTCTCTGGATCTGTGCCCAGCCTCCCAAACTGGTCTTCCTTTGGCCCTACTCCATCCCATTCTCAGAAGCAGCCAGAGATCTCTTTAAAACACCACTCTAGCACCGGCCGGTTTGGCTCAGCGGTTAGAGCGTCGGCCTGCAGACCAAAGTGTCTCGGATTTGATTCCTGATCAAGGGCACATACCTGGGTTGTAGGTTTGATCCCCAGCGCCACTGGGGGTCACGTGGAAGGCAACCAATTGATGTGTCTCTCGCGAATCAATGTCTCTCTCTCTCTCTCTCTCTCTCTCTCTCTCTCTCTCTCCCTCCCTCCCTTCTACTCTATCTGAAGAGCAATGAAAAAGTATCTCGGGTGAGAATTAAAAAAACAAAATATAAATAAAAATAAAACACTGCTCCATACTTAATGTCTTTACAGATGCCAGCGTATCTCAGGATACAGTTGAAATGTGGTCTGTGCGGCCACCCCTGCCCGAGGGGGCACACCTGCCCAGCCTCCTGGCCTCTCTCTGCAGGCCACCCTCCAGCTGTATGTGGGGGGTACATGCAGGTCACCCCCGAGAGAGTTTGGGAAGCTGACTGGTTATTTTGAAAAAGCTCTTGGTTCCTCCCAAGCCTGAGAATACATCATTCCAGGTGAACAAAGAAGCTCGCTCTCTTTCCCTCTCGCTCGCTCTCTCTCCCTCTCGCTCGCTCTCTTTCCCTCTCGCTCGCTCTCTCCAGTAGTCATGTGACCTTAGCCACCGTGTGGCTGGGCTGCGGGGACTCCGAATGCAGGCTGCAGGCTGGAGCCTGGGTAACGCAGCAAAGCAACGGTTGCAGCCGGGAACACAAGCTAAGCTCACTGGATGCTGGACTGGGACTAAGCTTTAATACGATACAGAATCTCTGGACATGGGCCTTATTTCCGGCCCTGATTTTCCATGGCGGGACAGACGAGGATGGGCCATTGGAAGGGCATCCTTTTCATTTTGCATCACAAAGAAATATTACCACCAGACCTTCTCCTCCCTGTGGGTCCCTGGAAATGCTGTTCCTCGTGACACCGCAAGAACCCCACTTCCACGGCAACAAGGTTACAAGCGTTTGTGCTTAACTGTTTTGTTTGATCCCACAGGAAGCCCGTGAGGAGGGTGTTTCCGTCCCCACGTGGATTTCACAGGTTACAGAAAAGAACAAAATGAGAACTTGAACCCAAGCCTCCTGACTTTTGGATGCTCGTCCTGCGCCACAGCGACCCCTCCTGGCTACAGCAGAAACTTCCGTTCGGAAGCTCAGTGGCTCTGACCAGGAGTCTGATGCAGAGCAGGCGGGTGTGGACCCTTCATACAGGTGATGTGTGTCAGAGGGCCCTAAGGTTCGGGCAAAAGGGAAACAAGACCTTCTGCTTGGTGGATCCTGACCATGGAGACAGAGCACTGTGTGTCTCCATTTCTGGGCACCATTCTGCCCCCAACGGGGTAAGATCAACTTCTCCCACAAGGCTGTTCCCTGCACATCTCTGTGTTTTCTCCAGGGCAGGCCCCCTGCAGAACACGCACTTTCCTCTTTGCTCCCACAGCGGAACCCTTCTGGCTTCAAATGCCCCCTCTCTGGCGGGCCCCAGCACCACCCAGGCCAGCTGCTCCCTCTCCTGTTTCCTCGGGCCTCTATCATCCTACGTTTCAGGCTGAGTTCATCCTAGACTGATTGTGGTTTTTCTGTTTGTTCGAGAAGCATGCTCATCTTCCATCTTGTATGGAGAAGGAAGAAGAGCACAGAGGCAAACAGGAAACCACCTGCAACCCACCCGAGATGAAAACCCCACTGTGTCTGTACCATCTCCTTCCCAACTCAAGCACGCAACTGGATCGATGCTTTCCTGATCATGTCACATTCTAACTGTGGCTTACCATTGCATTGCATGTTATGGAATGTTTTCCAAGCTTTCTTTTTTTATTTTTTATTGATTTTAGAGAGAAGGAAAAAGATATAGAAACATCTGTAAGAAAAAAAATTAACATCAATTGGCCGCCTCCTGCATGCCCCCTGTTGGGGGTTGAGCCCACAACTCGGGCATGTGCCATGACCGGGAATCAAACTGATGACCTCCAGGTGCATGGGTTGATGCTCAACCGCTGAGCCACTCCAGCTGGGCTCCCGCATGCTTTTCAATGAGCTCATCACTCTTGGCCCATTATGTTTTGAGTCATTCCCCCTGGCTGGGCATTCCCCTTGTTTGAAGTTTACTCTTCTGATCAATGCTATAAGGAAAAGCTTGTACACGAGTTTCTGTTGGGGTGCAGACCTGAATGTGAAATCACCGCTCAGAGGATCCCAACAGTTTTAAAGCCATTGGCTCATGGGAGGGCGCCCCTACTTTGCTTTTCTGACCTGTTCTCTTCCCTTAGGGGAGACTTAGGGAAGAGGCTGCAGAGAGCCCCAAACCTGGCGAGATGTTTGGAGAGCGGCAGTGCGATGAGGCATTTCTCTACTGCTTTTAGCTGCCCCGTGACATTTCCTTCCATCAGTGTGCATTCACTTCGCATATTTTCTATCGACATCGAGGTGCAAAAGTGCTTTGCTGAGTCATGCTTATTCTATTTGTGTTCTTCTCGTGTGCGAAATGGTTTTGAACTATGAACATTTTAAATTATTATTTAGCCAAGTCTACCTTGGTTTTGCGTGTCCTTCCAGCCTGGGAATCAGCCGCCATCCTCGTCTGGACCGAATTTGAGCGAGTTCTCTGGGCGGGCATTCTGCTCCAGCCTGTGCGCCTATCATCTCCTGACATCTCACAGCAGCTCCGGTAAGGAAGGTCTGTCCCGTGCAATGAGCTGCCAGTGACGCCGACAGGGAGGGGCCAGGGTGGTGTGACTCCAATCGCCGTGTCCCCAAAGGCCGTGTCACCCTGCAGTCAGGGACGAGGGCTCAGAGCTCACATTCCAGAGTCAAGCTTTTGGGAAATGAAAATGCTCACATATCTGGGCTCCTAACTACTATGTCAAGAAGTGAGGATGTTATTGCTGATAATTTGGGGTTGGAATGATGAAAAGCTACAGGAGAGACTGTGACTCATTGTAATTCTCGGTTTTGAGAAACATCAAAGCTACTGCAGATTTATCTGTCTGCACAGAGACTCAGCTGTGCCCCGAGAGTGTTCTCAGACTGGGTGCGGTTGGTGGTCTCTTCTCTCTTTATTTTATTGTTGTTGTTGTTTTCAGTTACATAAGTAAATCATATTCATTGAAATTATTCCTAACCTACAGTCATGTATTTAAAAACAGCTAATAGCTATCCACTCCTCCCATTAACTTTTTAAAATAAGAGTTAAATAATAGCACACATTTAAATAATAAGTACTAAGTAGTTTAAAAATATTCCCGAATAATTAACTACTTGATAATAATAAGCACCAGCATTCCTGGAGTGCTTCTACAGGCAAGGAGCACAGCTTCGTCACTGGATGAACAGGTCGACCCCCTGGCTCGGGCACCTTCTCATTCCCGTGTCACGGGGGGGAAGCCGAGGCACAGACAGGCCGATAAGCCACCCGGTTCCCACAGTCAGGAGTGCGAGAGCTGGGATTTCAACATCCGTGTCCAGCTCCAGAGTCCGTCGTCCTAAGTCTGCTACTCTGCTCATTTTGCAGACAGAAATTATGGCTATGCTCATGCTTTCGCTCAAGTAAACACATCTAGGCGCGGATGGACAAATGTAGCTCGGACTACCACCTTTTCTTTCTAGAAACATGGACATCTTTTCTGATGGAAACAGAGAGAGGTAAGTGAATCTTTCACAACAGTGGTCTTATCTGTGGATGAATATATTATATTTAACCATTTCACTGCGTATGGGCAATTAGGTGGTTTCCACCTGTTTTCTCTTGAAATCAGGGATGGGATAAATACGCTTAGGTGCCAAACTTTGTACTGTGTGCTTTTTTTTTTTCCTTTGTTGATTTTAGAGAGAGAGGAAGGAAGAGGGAGAGAGAGGTGGAAACATCGATGAGAGAGAACATCAACTGGCTGCCTCCTGCACAGGGTGAAAGTCTCAGGAAGGGAAGTCTCTGAAAGGCATCTGGCAAAGGGTCCTTTTTATTTTATTTATTTATTTTAAATTTTATTTATTGCTTTAAACAATTATGTGTATTTTAATGAATTTAAGTGTGACAATTGTTCTTTAATATTTATCCAAGTATTTACTATTTATATGATGACGGTCGCTCATTATTCAAGACCCAGGTTTCTCTTCTCCCTAAAGAGCTTTCTTTAGATTTACTTATTGAGCAGAACTGCTGGCCACACATTCTCTCAGCTTTTCTTCATTTGCAAATATTTCACTTGCATTCTTTTTTTTTTTTTTAGAATACAGAAGGCTCTCAAGCTTGATTTATTTATTTATTCTTTTTTTTTTTTTGTACGTGCCCCTAGCAGGAACCGAACCCGGGACTCTCTGGTTCGCAGGCTGACGCTCCAACCGCTGAGCCAAACTGGCCAGGGCTCACCTGCATTCTTGATGTATATTTTTGCTAGTTATAAAATTTTGAAAT